GTAAAGAATAGAAACAGAAGTTTATCCAGAAACTTCTTTGTGAAGAAAATGTCTGTTTTTAATATACTTGAAATGTATTAGAACACATAATCATTGTAAAACTTATATTTGTTTCTAAGTTTTAATTTTTAAGTATCCAAATAATATATTTTTGCACTATCACTTTACAATAATAATATTTCTACATTAATATGCAAATTTAATCATCAGTATGATTATGATAAACTGCACAAGAAACAATAAAGTAGCAAATGCATAAAATAAAACAACTCATTCTCTTTGTTTTAAAAAAATACATCAAATAAAGTCTTAACTGGTTTAAGAGATAAAACTAGGTTACATATTTTTTAAGTAATTTAAACCATTTTAAGTGATCTGATGTTCTATGAATATAGTAACTGAAGTTACAACTAATCTTAGCTTCACTTTTAATCTAGAGTTTTCTGAGAGAAAACACCCCTTCAACTATGACCCAGGCAATCTAGAAACCTGCATACAAATTAGAACAGAAAAGCTAATTAAAAATAAAAGAATCTGAGCCCTGGCTGGCGTTAGCTCAGTGAATTGAGCACGGGCTGTGAACCAAAGTGTCCTAACCCCCAGCAACCGCACATTGATGTTTCTCTCTCTCTCTCTCCCTCCCTTCCCTCTCTAAAAATAAATAAATAAAATCTTTAAAAAAAATAAAAAAATAAAAGAATCTGAATAGTCAAAGACAAATATTTGAAATGAAAATATGATGCATACACATTCTTCCTGGTGCTCCTAGTAACTGATGATATAATCAAATTTACTTTTGGGTAAAGCACTCAGAGGCCAGATGTTTAAAATGTGAAATAAATAAAAGTGCCAACAGCATTGTTAAGAGACCAGACATCTAACTTTGTAACTAAAATGGTTCAATACCTATATAATTTGCCATATACTCAAATAAGGAGAATACAGCAGACACTTAATACTTTGAATTCTGCTATAAAACTGAAATGGCTTCATAGATCATGTCCTACTCTCTGAATAATGGCCACAGTACAAAATGTTACAGATGCCATGGCTCTTCGTTTCAGGAAACCTCCTCTCTCTTGCCTGTCTCCCAGTAAGTTAAAAAAAAAAAAAATGTGTTGCATTGAGTTTACATGGTAAAGATAAAATTTGAGGTCTAAAAATTTAGTGTTATTCCTACTTTGATTGTCTGATAAAGATTTACAGAGAAGAATGGCCCACCTATCTCTAAAATCTATCTTTTAAAAATCAAATATGTTCAAGGAGAGGAATCACTTCACTTGTATTTTACACTGATGCATCAACTAAGTGATCTCAAATCTGTGGTTTCTATTTCCTTACCTAATACACAGAAAAGGAAATATCTACTATTCCTTTTTTTAGTGATGTAAATTGAATTCTCCTTTCTTAAACTTCTTAAACAGCTTCATCAAATACTTATATTTAGTGACCAGTATGTTCTAGGAATAAATTATAATAGTAAAAGTTTTATATTAATTCAGCAAACAATAATCAGTCATTACTTATGTGGAGTAGTCATGCATTATCATGAGTTCATTGAGTATTAAATGTGCTAGGAACCGTGGGAATAAAAACAAATAAGATGTCACTAAGTGGCCCCTAGTGACCTCCACCGAAAAACATCCATCACAGAGATACACATGTAAAAAGACCTCACGATTCTAAGTCACTTTCAATTTGGCCTTTAGCATTTAATTTCACTAAATAACAAAGAAATATATTTGAATTGGAAACTTCCCAGGTAACTTTTAATTAAATTTAAAAAGTAAACGGTAAAAATGCAAACACTATTTTTAAAAAGTTCATAAGATATTATCAACCATCTTTCTCTTTAAGACCATGACAATTTTTATATTTCCCATATCTGGCAGAAATAGCTCGATCTAATCATTTTAGAAGAACATGTTTCAACAAATTAATTTTTCTGTCCCACATATTCTAGAAATAATTATGTATAAAAACAGACACACACATTCTCTGAAAGGTAAAAATATAAGCATCTACTATTACTGGAATATATTTACCCATTGGAATCTTTATTTCAGAGCCCACATATATGTATCCTTTATATTACTAAATAATAATCACTGTTACTAAATGACAATGATGTCCCACTATTTTATATGGAAAGAATTTACTATCGCTCAGCAATTATTCACAACATTCCCAATGGAGTAGAATGTGATTTTTATTATACATATTAAAGGAAAAAACGGAGACACAGAAATATTAAATCACTTGCCAAAGGAAGAACTGAAAAAAACTTAAGAGACAAAACAGAAAATGACAATTGGAACCTGCTATTATAGTTGACAGATAAATAGAATGCAATTTCCCAGTGATGTTAAAATATTATAAATGTATATTGACATGTATACATACACAAAAACTGAAAAACCAAGGAAAATGATTAAGGAGGAAATTTTGATATAGCCTGAATTACATAGAGAAGTGTGGTTTCAAAATCAAAGCTGCTAAACAGCAGATTCTCGTGACTCGAGTTCACGTGTTCAAAGGAACTTGAGAAAATAAATATGGTGTATTAAATAAGAGATTATTAATTAAATTATGACTCAAGAAGAATAATTTTATAAGAGAATGAACCTATTAGACATATACAATAAGTATAATGTTTCTCTGACCAAGCACTGAAATATATCTTAAGAGAAAATAAACTCCAATTTAAAATGTCTGAAAATTAAAAGTTACAAAAAAGAATTTCATGTGTACATAAAATTTTAGATACAACTTGATCATAAATTGTGGACTTTTTAGGGAATTTGCAAACAATGACGGTGCCAATTACAAAATAAAAGAGATAATATGGGAAATGGCAGATATTAGCTTGTCATATTACCTTTTTAAATACATTAAATTCTACATAAAATGAAATTCTTCTGTAACTCAAGAGCAATAGTGCTTAAACTGAATGTGTATTTTTTGGTACAGAACAACTACATTATAATCATAAAATTTTATGGCATTGTGTTATATCCAGCTTATTTTGTCCTCAAAATCATTATAAAACTTTTTAAGTCCCTGTTCATTACCTCTTTAAATCGTTTGCAGAAAATCTGTGATGTTATCTTCTTAACAAGGTAAAACTAAGGAAGAAGGCTTTATATCCATCATTTCTATAGCAACAAAAATATCTTTACATTCCAGAAGACTTTCACAGAATCCCAGACACTGGCATGTTATAATAATGCAATTAGGAATGAAAATTTTATAAGAGAAACTAAATAAGTGAGAGTAAAAACTAATATTATTCAAAAATATTATCAAGAATCAAAGAAAGATGGTAACTATTGTTTAATACAATTAAAATATTTGTTGAAGATGCCCCTATTATAAAGTGGTTTGAAAAATAAAAATTGTATGTATCTCCTGGATTGTTTCTTTCATATACATGACTAAATAAATAAATAAAAATGTGGTAAAAATGTATAGGTCTTATTAACCTACTATTTAAAAATAAATAAATAAATGAGAGAGTAGATAGTCCCATAGGTTCAATTAATTAAAAAGAAGATAACCAGCTCTCTAAGATTTTAACTATTGTGTCAAACTGATCATGCATGACAATGCACCCTCAACCCCAAGGAAATTTCCTCTAAAATAAATTTTTGTTCAATATACAAGATTGTTTTTTATGTTTCTTTCTTTTGTTCACTTATATGTGTTGTTTTGTTATTTCATGTACTCCATTACAATATGCTTATGCCTGAAATTTTTTATACATAAATCAGAAAATTATATTATAGCCAGAATTATTAATGTGTATCTTCTCTTATTAGAACTACTTTACCCTAAATGCCCATGAGTTTAACCTTCAGGAGAGCTCACATGACATTCAAAAAGCACTGGCCAAATGTTACAGACTTTCTTGACTTTGTTGAAGCATTTTGTATTTCTTCACTATAATTTTAATTTTCTACTTAACTTCTTCACTGATAGTATAAAAAACTCATAAATTCAAAACTTCTTGCCTTTATTTGAGCAATGAAAAGAAATAGAAATTATATTTTAATGACAAATAACATCATTTTGGAAGCAAATATTTAAAATTATATAACAGTATTAATATATATTTTATCAACTTAGTGTTTTAAAACATTTAATTTCTGTGCCTTCAGATAATTTAAAAAGAGTTTATAAAAAGACAGTTTTTTCAAGAAATTAGAAAGGGTTCCCCTGCCACACTAAAAGATTATTTATGTAAGAGTGGTAACGCTTTTAAATGAGGTCTCCTGAGTTCACCCACCCACTCCTCCATCTCATCCAGGGTTTTGAGCAATTTCTTCATCTCAGCAAAAGAGGCAAATGGCTAAAATTAGCAGTGTCTGGACCATCAGGAATAGCCACTGTGCAACATCAGCTGAGATTCCTGATTTGCATTATGTCTGCTAAGAAAAAAAAAAGTGCCAAAACAAAACAAAGGAGAAAACAAACATAAAACAAAATAAAATCTATCTAGGCCATCTTTTCACCTTTCTTTATTTCATAAGAGAGAAGCATTTAACACATTTGTTTTGATAAACAGGAACTAGTGATAAAGCTCCTATCAATAAAAGGTATATCTTATCATTATTGGTAATAAACTTAAAGTTTTAGAGCATGCTAAGAGAATTTAGTAATTTTTATTGCTTAATGAGATAAAACAATAATCTTAGTGCCAAGTGTTTGGATTAAATTGCTTTTGTGGCTTCTAAATACAGAATATTGTCAACTCTTATCAAGAGAACATTCTCTTGTGTTCAAAATTCAGATTATCACTCCTAATTACATCTAACTCCAGAGAATAACCAAATGTGGCAGGTTAGTAAGTGGATGAAATCTGCTTCTGAAGTAGTGTTTCCACTAAATAAAGTTTAGAAAAGATCCTGTACTGTGATTTTTCCCCATTATATCTGTGATGAAAAAAATGATGAAAACGCCCCTGCAACCCCCTGAAGACAAGGTCTCAGCCTACAATTTACCTGACAAGATTCTCATTGTCTCCAGTTCCCTTGCAGGTAGCACATTCAGTTCGTAAATCTTCAGCCTTGGGCTTCTTCTGTAACACAGACTGCCTCTGTCTTCTCTCTCTAGGAACTCTTTCCTGCCGTCCCAGGGAGAACAGAACAGAACAAAACATAAGCAAAATCAGGATATAAAGAAAACAGAAATAATTTTGAGCATGGAAGTTTACCAAAGTTTAGACTAGGTAAAATATGCTTAACTTATTCCAACCTCATGTTTTTCTTCATCAGGAATGAAGCTTCGTTTTCGTCCTCTGGTTCTCTAAAAAGAAAAAAAATCCACAACTGCTTACACACTTGGAAAATTAGTATTTCTAATTCATACTGTAATGCTCTATTGTACTGCTACAATTTATGTCACAGGAAATAAAAGTCAGACAAATTTACAGTGCTTTACTTAATCACACAAGTATCCGACAGGAAAAAAGTTGTCCAAAATTAATTCGAAGAATTTTTTCAATACTTCATATATGTCACACAATTTCAATTTATGCAAAGAATTTAAATTTTCATAACTTGTAAAACTTCTACAGCTGAAATGCTAAACAAAGACTCACACTCCATCTATTATATGTCCGTGTGTGTGTGCATGCATGTTTGTGTAAGATGAACAAAAAGTGGAAGACAAGGATCTCAGATGTCCCCAAATCTTCATTAAAATAGACCTAAAACATGATATAAATGACTTATTTCAAATGTAATTAAAATATTTCAGAACGCACTTACCATTTGAAAGACAACACCCAAACATTTAAGTGTAATAAAGTATGAAATACAAAATCATTTACAACCAATATGTTAAAAAATCTCCGCCCACATAGCAAAGCCTCTATAGACCTATAGTCCCACGTGCAGACTAGCGGTCTTCAGATAATGGGAGAGAAAGGAGGTACTCTCCCACAAATTACCACACTGTAGATCGAGGAATACTTCCAGGTTAGAGTAGTTACCATGTAATTCTAAACATAATTTCTATCCAATGTAAATATGTTGATATTTTCCTAAAGTACTGTTGTTTCAATTCGTAATACCAAGTCCCTTGTTAGTTAATACCATGGCTAATTACACATTATTTAATCTGCCCCTAGACAACCAAGACCTGATTGAACTAGTCATTCAAAAGAAGTATATTTATAAACTATGTATTCATTTACATTTGCATTGCCAATTAGTATGTTTTAATCACACTATGTAAGGAATTAGGAAGAAAAAGTAACACTGTATCCAAGAAAAGTCTTTAAATACAGACCCTACATCTATTCTTAATCCCAAAGAACAATACTGAGCTTCTTCCTCAAAATATCAATCATGGCTCATAAGCATTGGCCTTCCCTAAGAGCTTCTCAGAAATTTAGAATCTTAATTCTTACTTCATACTGCCTTTTAACAAGATCTACAAGTAAGTCATACACACATCTGAGTCAGAGAACAGGAGTGCAGAAGAACCCTTAATGCTGACGACACTTATCTGCGCTCTAACTAAAATTTATGGCTAGCTCTTTACATATCCATCTTTCCCTCCTGCGACATCCCTGTCCTTTATGCCTCAGTTTCCTTCCCCCAACACAGTTTATCCCCACACTGGCGAGGATCATATCATACTCATCTTCCCAAATGCAATTAACCTGAATATAATATGTATTACATAAAGGCTGAATGAATTTGTTGTAATAAAATAAATAAGTGGTTAGATTAAAATTCACAAATTCCTTGCTAGATAATACAAATGATAAAACAATTGACAAAAAGGGTAAATTGTTGTTTCCTTCTCTAATGAGCTATTTTTCAGTTTGAGTAATGTTTGCATATAGGACATTTCAATAAGGTGACCACTATAACCAATATCAAAGGGAAAATATTCAAATTACTCATTTTAGTTCTATAAACATTTCAGAATGCTCAAAACTCCACACATTCCTATTTTTTTATTCACCCCTTTTTTTATGTAATGAAGTAGCAAAAGAATAATTGAACTTTTGAGTCGTCTAGTCAGTGAATTAATTTTTGAGGTATATATGTGAAAGCTCCAAGTTCATGTCATCAATTCTTTTCAAGATACACAGTTATTTATCATTTTTAATTAATACTTCAAATCTTCAATTATCTGGAATGACTCTATCAATTGGAAGTTTTTCAAACTCATACTGCAATTAGTAGTACAAAGCACAATAATGCCAGTAAGTGATTATAACATACAATAGCATAGGTTACATTTCTCTATAAATTCCTTTTTATATAACTATGTATCTGTTTAACTAAAATGCTATTTTTAAAGTGAATAAGTATATTTATAATTATCTAAAACAGTCATTTTAAATTGAGCGCATTTATTACCAAATGGTAATCATTGATGTATTCCTATAATACATCATTCCTATGATGTAATTGTAAATAACTCACCAAAGCAACATAAACAAACTCCAGCCAGAAACACACTGTTACAAGCAATATGAAATGACAGTGTCTCAGAGCTTTGGAAAAGCAGTCCATGGAAGGACTTGATCACACAGCTGACTGCAGTAAACTTCAAACCTGGGTATCTCAACTCACAACTCAGTGTTTGTTCTTGCATGACAAATCCAAGATTAATAAATTTAATCCCAAATAGAGAAGACCAAAATTATCATGTGAAAACAAATCTCTTACTTTCACTTGAATACTTAAACTGTACATCATAATGCCTAAATGATGAATTCTTACATTTGAAAACCAGTACATTAGACAATTATACCCAATGGCGAGGAGACCTCAATACCTCAAATTAACACTATATTCTATCCACTCTGCTAACCTACACAGTATAATATTGCCATGGTTGGTTCATGGCCAAAGTAAATTACAGCAAGCTTCTTTAGCATTTATCACATCACCAATATTTCATTTACAATGAAAAAAAAAAAAAAGGTGATTTAACCCAAACACTACTCTTCACAATATAAAGTCCTCCAAGAAAATGCCAAGAACTGTTGGTTTCTGTCTAGTTTTAAGGAAGCAGTCATAACATCTTACAAATGCCTATGATCACGACAGAATATATCTTAAACACGGCACATCTGAATTAATCAGAAAATCTAAAGGGCATTAATAAGTGGAGATATGATGCAAAAAAGCAAAAAAAAAAAAAAGAAAGACAAAAACATGTTTGGTCCATCCAACAAATTTCAATTATCAAAGAACTTGCCCCATCTTAAATGTAAAGAAATATTCATAACCAGGTGGCTATTTCATGATGTACAGTGTGGCTGATACTTTTTTAAAAAATATTTATTTTTAGATAGAGGAGAAGGGAGGGAGAAAGAGAAATATTGATGTGTGAGAGAAACATTGATCAGCTTCCCCTACTGGGAACTTGGCCCCCTACCCAGGCACGTGCCCTGACCAGGAATCGAACCACAACCCCTCAGTTCACAGGCTGATTCTCAACCCGCTGAGCCATGCAGGACAGGATGAGGTTGACACTATTCTAGAAACAAAGTAAGGGAGCAGGGTAAAAATGACATGTGGAAAGAAGAATTTTATTTAATGATTATGTGTCTTAGAACTTAACATAGATACATTATCTAGTTCCAAATGATCAACGGAGGATTCAATTCCAAATCATGGTTCCTTTTGCAATTATTAACCTATAAAAAGCAAATGAAAGTTTGAAACTCACTCTACATCTTGACACATTCCTATTTTTTCTTGTTTTGTTACATTCTAAGAACTTTATATGCTTGGGGAACAATGCATCTTAGATCACCTGGTTCTTTGTCTGTCTATGGTACATTTACTTGAAAACCAGAGGTAAAAAAAAACACCCCCAAGAGAATGAAGAGATATTAGAGACAATGTATCCAAGTTAGAAAAGAATAAAGTATTATTAGTCATCAGACATCATTTTAATAGCTTATTCATCTGAAACAAATAATTAAATGTTTCAATCATTTCATTTAGATAGAAAACATGTAACCAATTTAAATTAATTCTTTAGAGCTAGGGTTATTTTAATTTACAGTGAAGTTTGAGGCATGATGATTCTCCCAAGGTCAGAATGATTCGTCTGACACTGAGCTGAATTTAAACCTGAAAGTGCCTCCACACCCTTCACACCACAAGATGGCTTTCACACACTCACGGGCGCAGTGTTCTCTAAACGTAATGACTTACCTTTTTCAGGACTAGTCAACACTTATACAAATGATAATGAATAAATAAGCCATTATTTAACCAGATAAAACACAAGGAATGCCTCCCCATGTAATTTTTATATAAAAAGAGAAAATGCTTATTCTTGAGCAAAATTTCAAATTCAATGTTAACTAGGACAATTAAATCAAACATTGAAAACCTCTGTAAAGCTGAGTATCTTCAGATTTATACAGAGAAATAAATGCCAGCAGCTGTCTGGCAGCTGTTCAAAATGCTTCAATATACATTTTATACATATAAAGTTTACATATATATTCTAAAAAAATAAGTATTTGTTTTCCAATTATAGAACAATATATTGAAAACAATCATATTAAAGCTCATAAAATATGCAAAAACATTTATATATGTAAACAAGGTTGAACAAAGTGCCATCTGTTTCTGTTAGCTACTGGCACACAGCAGATGGAATAGTCATCACGGAAACTGGGTGTCTCCTTCTTATCAATTGGTTGTGGGGCTTATTTCTATCTAATCGAATTTATATTAACAGAGGTAGGAAAATACATAGCCCTGTGTGGTGTGGCTCAGTAGGTTGAGTGCTGGTCTATGAACCAAATGGTCACCAGTTCAATTCCCAGTCAGAGCACATGCCTGGGCTGCCAGCCAGGTCCCCAGTAGGGGACACATGAGAGGCAACCACACACTGATGTTTCTCTCACTCTCTTTCTCCCACCTTTCCCATCTCTCTAAAAACAAATAAATAAAATCTTTTTTTAAAAAAGGAAAATACATAGAAGAATAAAAAGAAAAATCATAATCAACTGGGTTAACACTATAAATTAAAATAACCACAAGCCTAAAAACATAAAATATACATTTTATGTAAGTATTCCTATAAAACCCTTCTCACAGATAATGCTATATTCAAAAAAGTAAAATCCTGAAGCTCTACCTATTCTAATTCCCTTTATCTCAAACTCTTGTAAATAAAAATGATGATTTCCAGAGGCAAAATGCACAAACTTCAGGCTCCAAATAAGATTACTTGACACACAGAGTGAGTCTCTTTCTTCCAAGAGCCAAAGTGAGTTAAATATGGTCTAGTTCCACCACAAAAAAAGCTTGCCA